TGAATGGAAACATCTATATAAACCAAGGTTTTTTGCCCTGCCTTTCTTTCTTTTTTGTTGACAAGTGTTTGCGGCTTAATATATTTTTTTGAGGTCCTTTTTTCGCATCTTAATCATGACTATAAAATTATCGCGTCAAAACTATGCTTCTTCATCCACTCAATCTTGTCCAATTCGGAACTTTCCAAATACTGAAGAATTAGAAACCATAATCTCGAAAATCGTAAAGTTTGAGGAACGTCAGGAAATTGAGTCAATGACCTTTCTCTCTTTACACGATTTAATTATCCCAAGCCTTAAACCGAAGCGTGCTGGTCCACCTAGGGCTCAAAATTGTTTTTTGATCTTTAGAAAAGACCTGCAGGCAAACATGAAATCTCAAACGGACTTGAGGATGACTTCGAACGGAATGATTTTTAGAAAATATTTAAGAAAATATTTGCATACCTATATGACATCTACTGATGATAAGACTTGTATGAAAATAGTTTCGAACACTGCCTTTCGTATGTGGACGTACGAAAATGAGATAAAGCAAGTTTATATAAAAGTTTCTAAAATCGCAAAAGCCGTCCATGCATTTATGTGGCCGGATTACAAATATCAACCTAATCGTAAAAAACGTTTACAACATTCTTTTCGTTATGATCCATATATTCCTGTACCATTTTATAACTCTCAACAAACCCAAAATTTTTCATATCCTAATAACTTCGTTTCTTTTACTAATAAGCATATTCCCCATATACAACAACTCGATATAAATTTAAGCAAATTAAATTATTATAATGATAGAATTCTTTGTCAATCTTTAGACAGATATGTTAAGATTTAATTACGCGTTCGCGTTTAAGTTTCACGTGATGTATGATTTAGAAAAATGCATCGTATTTTTTTCTTTATGTCATTAGCTTATCATTATTTATATGTTTATTACTAAATTCGGCTTTAGTACTTTTTTTCATATGTTATTACCTTTCATATGATATTACATGTATGTTTTCATAAATTTAATTTTTAAATAAAGTCTCCGTATTATATAATTACAATAAATATTAAACAATTGGTATGTTATAAATAGTTGGATTGTTTGTGCTGCAAAGTATTAATGCTGTACTGTGATCTCTCCTTAAGTGCATTCTCTATGTATATCTTCGTAAATTTGATCTAAACCTAACCTTATAAAGCTTATAATAAAATATCTTCCATAAATGGACACTTCTCAAAAACAAATACGCTTTTACTGTAATCTCAGTGGAAATCCATTCAGAAAGGTTCATTGTGTGCATAGTTAGTTGACAGCTATCAAACCGTTGGTAATAATACATTTATTTTGTTTTGCTTTTCAGTAAATCTTAACTAATCAATTTTTAGAAATTATTCGATACTAAAATTTATATTAAAAACCGGGTTATTCGAGCTTTTTATATCAGTCACACGATATTTCACATGTGAAAATTTAATATGGGGTCAAATGGTCGTCGCACCTAAATTTTATATTAATATTTGAGTCAAATATACTTCCCGACTCTTGTTTAGGCGACTTGAAATTAAAACCTCGTTTAACGTTATTTTTTTT